ACAAAAGTCTAAATAAGTCTCAAACAATAAAAAATTAATAACTTTAATGTTAAATTAATATTAGTGATACCCTAAATGTATCACCACTACTCATGCTCTAACAGAAAATTAGCTTTGAGATTTTTTTGGGGGGGGAGTAAAGAACGCACCAAGGCACGTAAATGTATGTGAAACCTTGTTAACCTGGTTTTTGTGACTGGTTCGGGTATTGACTTCCAAAACTTTGATGAACAAATTCGTTTGATATTATGGTTTTTGTTGATGCTGCATGCTACTACTGCTATTTTTTTTTGTGTTAATTTACTTCTTATGGCTCTTTATATTATAAAATATTTGAAAATAACCCAAAATTACGCAAAATTTGGTACGGTACGAAAATAACTGGGAGAAACGATTCCGTATGGTAAAATTGCGGATTCTAATTCTTTGATTTTTTTTTCTGTTTATTTTAAGCCCTAGTACAAAAAAAAAAAACTTAACATCCCAAAGGAAAGGATTGAAACAGATCCCATTACTCGTTCACAAAGTAAAAGTCATATCATGTTTTCACAAAGTAAAAGTCATATCATGTTTTTGTATTCTACATGCTCTGTTTTTATACCACATCAATACATGATACACTCTTCTCGGTAAGCTTTGAGTGGAGAAAATACTAAGCATTTTCCAGAGTGAAGAAAAAGCGATCTCGCTTAGGCTAGGCCACACCGTTTGGTGATAGTATTAGTGGTAGTGACCGAGAGAAGAAGAGGGAAGCCATATACAAGAAAACCAAGTTTCTACTTCAACATATTAACAAACACAAAAGCGGTGAGTGATGCTCGCGAATGAATATCTTGCTCAGGCGGAGGGAAAGACTGGAAAAATTAAACCGAGTGGGCCTGCTGCCTTAGCGGGGATGGGTTGGATCTTCCAAGTGCAGGACACGAATTCGAATGAACAAATTCTGAAGACGATCGAGCAAGGTTCGCAAACGGAGCGTTTTGTTGGATCACCGTTGATGGCCGAGGCTTTGGCAATGCGGATAACCCTCCTTAAAGCTAGAACAAAAGGAATCCCTAAGATGTGCATTTACTCAAACTGTAAAGAGTTTGTCGATGCAGTTGCCTCGTCCAATGCAAACAAAGAGATCTTTGGAATTTTCCAAGACATCATCAACATTATCCCTCCTTTCTCTTGTTTAGAATTTCGCTATGTATCACGAGAGAAAAATATGCTTGCGAACTCGCTTACTAAAAGTGCACTGAGAAGGGTGGATAATGTAACCTCTTAATCGAAGATAATGAAATGAATTTGTTGTACAAACAAAAAGGTATATACTTCGAAAAGGGGACTCTTTTGATGGTATGTTTTAAACTTATAAATGTGACTACAAGTCTATAACTTAAGAGAACAATATCTTGTTGCTAAGAAGTTTTTGTAAATTGTTTCTGTGTCGAAACAGAAACTAGCTAAATCCTAAGTGATGTCTTAAGACTGTCCAAACATATTTATTCATTATCTTTGTGAAAACAACAAACCAAAAAACCCATCTTCGAAACAATCAAACACACTCAAAAATACAATCTTTTGTTTATGAAAGGAAAAATAAAATCTTAAACTCTATGTTTCTCAATCTTGTTCACGAGCTCATTAGGTTTAGCTCCAACAACCCTATCAATCTCTTCTCCTCTCTTCACAAAAACAAAAGCTGGAAGTGTATTAGCTTTATATGTTCCAGCCACATCCTGCAATACAATACTAAATAGCTTAGTCTTGTGACTTAAATAAGTCATGGTTTCGGTTACAATAAAACCGTAAATGATTATTCTTCAAAGTAAAAGAATAGAGAATAAATACCATTAGTCTATCCACATCAACCCTAGCAAACACAGCTTCTGGATACCTTGAAACTATCTCCTTAACTCTAGGTTCCATTGCTTTACAAGGTCCACACCATGCAGCTGTGAAATCAATCACTAGCTTCAAAACCACCAGATTGTTTTAACAAAAACCAATTCAGTAACATGTAAACAAGATTAAAAACTGAATTGACTAAACATTGCGGGGTTTTCTTATAAATATATACCAATTTATTTGAGCCTTTCATGGAATCAAATAGTAATCTCCATTGTCTTCTTGATTCAATTTCCACAACCAACCCACTCTTGGTTTGCATTGATGAAGGAACATCATGCACAGATGAAGCATTGGAACCCATTATCTTACAAATGTGTGTATATATAAAAATGAGTTTCGCTTAATTGCTTGCGGCTAATATGAAAAGAAGAGAAAGATAGAGGAGCTATATATAGAGTTTCGTCGGATACATTTGTTCATTATTATAATAAAAAAATTAATGGCAATGGAATATGATTCAATTTGCAATCTTTCTCTTAGCCGTTGCTTTAGTTTTTTCAGGAATATGGCGTTTTCCCGATTTATTTCTCTTTGTTTTTCTTTAGTTCCATCCAATTAGTTGTTCAACATTCTCAAATCTCCACTACATAAAAGTAAAATTAAAAAAGCTTTGATGGTATTATGTAGTTCC